TGTTGCTTTCTGAGAGGGACTGAGCAATCCCACCACCCCTTGCAAAGAGATTGGACCAGTCTGGGCTCTCTGAAAGCACAGCCCATGCCTGTATTTCCCATCTTCTACTCTCTCTTTTGGCTCTTGTGTCCTTGTTCTCTTGGGCTCCCCTGGGCTGTGAGTCCCACCAAGCCAGCCTAGGCAGGACCTGATGGCCCTGAATATCTTCACCTGGGATCTTTACCGCAGTCTTGTAGTACACACTCATGTCAGCTCCTCCTACACTTGCAATGGGACTTCTACTCTGAGTGACCCTTCTACACTCTTTTGACTCATTAAAGTTCTGCTGCATCCCAGCCTACGCCTCTGTGTCATCCTTCTCCCTGTAGATGCTCTCCCAAGATGCCCAGGAGGAGAGAAGTTGCTCAGGGATGGTTCTGGGAGGGGAGCGTTGGGGATGGCTGTGCAGTGGCACAGACTTGCATTGAGAAAGCACAGTCACACATCTCTTCATCCTCCCATCCCTTTGGCAATGGTGAAGGCTCCAGATGTCTCCAGCACAGCCCAGGGCAATGCTCTCCTCACTCTTGAAGGGGCTGTTTCCACAGATGGACAGACCATACAGTGGCAGTTAAAAATCCTTCTTGTGGTGAGTTAACACGGTCTGGATGTCACAATGCTGGGCACATAGTTTCCATCTTATCGATTAAATTAACAGGGATGTGACAAGGTCCATCTTTCCATTTTACTCCTAACAAATGTGTCTCTTCTGCAGGTCCTTTGACCTTGAACTTTTTATGGATGATCTACCCTTCAGAAGAATTAGAATTCTTCTTTTGCCCTTCCCAAACACTTCTTTGGCTTCTTTGCCTCATATGACAGGGCAACAAAATGCACTACTAAACTGACAGTCTTCTTGCACAGTCCCTTGTTAGCAGCTATCTTTCCCCTCAGTTCATGTACCCAGTCTTCCACCTTTAAAGTGGGCTCGCCATCCCACCTGGTCATGCAGGAAGCACTAGAGAGGGCTACCAACCGTGGTCCTGAGTTTTCCATTACTGCTCACCACAGCAGGAGGGTATTGACTCCATGGTTGCCCCTCAAGATGAGGTGTTGCCCTGTGGGGTCAGAGTAGAAGTGAGATATTGTTCAAAATACCAGAGACATGAAGATGCTCTCTTCACAGTTGCTGAATTGAAATCTGGGCAATATGTTTCTCCCAACTTGTTAGAATGTGACACTGGTGCCCTTTGGATGAACTTTTTCACATGGACTGTACACACAGGGCATTATCTGGACCTCTGGCAACCTTGTTCTCAGTGAGGTCACTTCCAGAACCTTCTCTCAGGTACTGGATGCCTTTCTAAGCAGTAGTCCTCCTTCCATGATAATTCACAAGATCTTACTTGAACACATATCTTGCCCTCACACTTGACAGGACACTGCTCCAGAGACTGCAATTATTTGTGACTTTTGCATTTTCCCGGCCAAACCCTCGGTCCCTAGTGATGAATACCAGCCATTGAGCTTCCTTGCCTTTGAATTTCTGGCTGTTGACCCCACTCTTACACCACCAGAGTTGATAGGCAGCAGGCAGGTGAGCAATCATCTGCCTTCTACCTGTAATCATTCCACAACTCTTCAAGTTGTCCCAAGGTCAGGGATTGATTACTTCAAGTCCCTTGTGTGATTTCTCTCACTCCTTTCTCTCACATCTCTGCTGAAACAACAGCTTTCCTATCAAACTCCTCATTCCCTCCTCACTCCTTCACTAATCAAGACAGATACATTCATCTTACTGTCCCTATCACAACCATGGTGTTCTCAGATGTGCTGTAGGTCTCTGCCTCACCTTCTGTATTCCTAGATGTAGTTTGAATCCCTGCATTAGTCAGGGAATTCACAGAGGTAGTTTGCATCTCTGTCTTAATCACAGTCCTCCGGTGTTACTGAAGTGTGGCTCAACAGGCACAGGTCAAGCTCCAATACCGTGCTAAAAGCCATCACCCAGGGACCAGTCTCCTCATGGCCTGTTTCACTCTTGCCACATCCGTAAATTGTCTCTTCTTCACTCCAGCGTGACAGCCAATTGCACAAGCCCCTCAACAGCCAACAAGGTTAATGAATAGGTTTAAATACCTCTTGAAAGAGCAAACAAGGACCTCGGGAATTTGTGCAACAAAACAAACCCATGTTAGTCCCTGATGGGCAGAGGGAGGTGCATTCTCTCACCCTCTCCACAAGACGGCTTCCCCAGCACAGGAAGGACCTCAACACCAGGGCAAAGCCCACAGCCTCACCTTCCCTTACCATCTTCCCAGCCTCAGCCAAAAAAAACATAAGCAGTGCAGCAATCAAACTATCTGACCCCTTCACAAGCCTTCCCATTAGTAACTACCACAGCTACAGTGTGCTCAGCTCAAAACAATGAGACAATGACTCAAACTCCATGTGGAACACCAGGAGAAAACCAACTTGATAATGAATGTCTCCCTGCCCCCCACCTACTCTTTTTCCTCAGCATTTTCACTGACTGTGATGTCACATTCTATGAAATAACCCTTTCGTCAGTCTGGATCCCAACCTCCTGCCTTTTGAAGACATTGTAGGGAGACAGGATTGCTGGTGTGCAAGCACTGACCAGCACTGCCCGATCATTCCTGTTTTATCAACACCATGTCAGCTACAACTGCAAAGACACATCAGGAGGGCTAATAAGGTGGAACTGAACTCCATCCTAGGAAGAACCTACAAAATGATCTGCTAACACTGCTCATTCATTCCCAAATATCTCTTTCCTGAATCACTCTTGAGTAGGGTCTCTCTTTCTTGGCATCTTGATTAAGTGCAGAGAAAAGGATGACACAAAGACATGGACTCAGATGCAGCTGAACTTTAATTAGTCAAAACAGGGAAATGAGGTTGCCCTGAGTGGCCATTCCAGTGAAGGGAGCAGCAGAAGCAGCGAGGAGTCAGAGCCTGATGGTTGTGATGTAGATCCCATCAGGTGTCCATGTACCGCCTGCAGGAGTCACAGCCCTCAGAAACACAAGAGAAGACAGACACAAAAGCCAAAGAAGAGAGTGGAAGAAGGGAAAAGCACACACAGGCTGTGCTTTCAGAGAGCTGAGGGTGGCCTTGTCCCTTTGCAAGGGGTGATGGTCTTGCTCAGCTTATCTGAAAACTACAAGCCGATGGTCCATCACCAGCACAATACAATCTTGTGAGTCTCTATGGGGTTTTCCCCAAGGCCTTTTCCAGCAGCTTTAACAGGGGAGGCACCTCCTGCCACAGTAGCGACCACCAATGCCAGAGAGGCCAAAGCCCCCAGAGTTGATGGGCACTCCCTCCGAGCTCAGGATGCTGCCAACGGCAGCAGAGGTGGAGTTGCCCACGGCGGTGTTCTGTGGGAAGGAGCTGAGGATGGGTCCGGGCAGGGTCACCACCACAGGGGAGGGCTGGATGACGACTCTGGAGTCCTGGCACTGCTGGACACAGGGCTCATTGCAGCTGTTGGCCAGCGGTGCAGCTGTTGGCCAGCGGCGTTGGGCCGCAGGGCTGGCAGGGCAGGCACGGGTTGTAGCAGGACATGTCTTGGAGCTCAAGTTGCACCTGGAAAAAAGAGTAAGAGGGAGCAGAAGGTGAGGGGCTGGTTAGGAGCATCCTTTTGTGTCAGAACAACATAGGCAGGGCAAGAGCTGGAGATATGAGATGAAGGGCTTTTTGTGGAGCCTCACAGAATTCTCCTTCCCCTCAGTTCAGAAAAGCCCTGCCATGAGACACTAATTCCAGGGAGTTTCCCAGTAAGCCCATAGCTCAGAAGCCACCTTAGCAGAGCCTCAACTTCTCGCCATAGAGCAATTTCTACCCCCTTCCCATGACAAGCTGTTGCAAGATACAGTGTTGAACAAAGGGTCAGACATGAACTGAGATACACTGGAGAAGTATAACAAGGAAGAAGACAGAGCTTCAGACTCACCTTGTTCCCAGGGAGATGGAAGAAAGAGGAGTGGATGAGAGAGTGAGGAGAAGGACCTGCTTTTATACTGCTCCTGCACCGCCCCAGGCCCACAGTCACTGCACACAGGCAGTAATTTTCAACAAACTCACCTTGTAAGCAAAATTTCCTACCTAATGGCACACAATGTGTTTTGATTTCCATCAACGTTGCCATTTTATTTCCTCATTTTTTACGTTCTTGGTCTGTGATGCAGGCTCCTTTCATGTGCCGGAGATAGAGGCCTAAGGATATTCTGGGTAGAATTCTGTCAGTGCAGGCACAAGATGAGCCCCAAATGCTGTCTGGGTCCCATGCAGGCAGAGGATGTTGACTTGGGGCAGCAAAGTGCAACTGTTTGCAACTCTCTTTGCAGGAGAGTGTTTTATTTGCCTTCTTTCTGATTCTATTTGCTGTGGGAAGAGTCTGCCAGGCTGTCTGAGGATTGCCTGAGTATGGCTGGGTATGTCCGTGTATGTCTTGGGACTGGAAAATCCAAAGCCTACCTGAGATTGTAGGAAACAAAGCATGTGGAGAGTAACAAGAAAGTCTTCTTTCAGGTAGGTCAGCAGCAAAAGCAGGGCTTGGACAAAGGCTGAACAGGCAACTCTACTGGGGACAGTGGTTAGAGGAAGGGTGGAGGTGATCCACCTCTTCTTGTCCTTGGTCTTTACTAATAGGATTTGCCAACAGGAGACTGGGCTCCTGACATGGCTTGGAAAGTCTGAAGTAGGAGATACTTACCTGCAGTAGGGGAGGGTCAGATGTGGGAACATTGAAACAGATTGGACAGGTGTGAGTGAAAGAGACCTGATAGGATGCACATGAGAGAGTCTGGCTGATGTCACTACAAGGCTGCTGTTAACTCCCTTTGAAAGTCGAGCATTCGGAGAACACGTCTGAGGCGTGTACAAAAGCAAAGGAGCCTTCTGTGACAAGAAAAGCCTCAACATCAGGGAGTTACTGGGAGGACTGGCCAAAAGCCAGTGGACATCCTGTCTTCAAGAAGGGCAGGAAAGAGGAACGACAGATCTGTCAGCCTCATCCTTGATCCCTGCAAAGGTGATGTAGCAAATCACCCTGGAGGCCATTTACCAACAGGAAAGGACAAGAAGGTGATTGTGAGTGGTCAGCATGGACTTAAGGAGGGGAACACAGGCCTGCCCAGGCTCCTGACCTTCTCTGATGATGTGCCTGCCCCCAGTGGCTGAGGGTAGCTCAACAAATGTTGTTAATCTCTTCTAGCCAAGGATTTTGACGCTGTCTGCTGTAACAATCCTTAAAAAGCAAGTGATGAAACACAGGCTGGAGAAGAGGGCAGTGCAGAGGACAGAAATTTGGCATGGCTGCTGACCTCCAAGTGTTGTGATGAGTGGCTGAAAGTCCAGCTGGCAGTCACACACTCCTGGTGCAATGCAATTTTGCAGAT